GGAAAGTTTTTACTTGAGTCAATAAATGATAACACAATATTATTAAAGATACTTTGTTGTTTTTGTACGTGCGTTTTGTATGTGGTTGTACGTGCTCGGAAACACAGTCGTAAACTTGAAACATAATGAAAAATAATGTCGTTGGAAATGTTGTTGTCAAAGAAATTCGATTCAAATATTGTATACACTATGGAACGTACTTCTTGTAAGTGGCTTAAAATACAAATTAAATCCAAAACTCACCATGTCGTTGATAGTACATTATTAACGAACGATTCAACTGTCACAACCTGTGGTCACACCCCAAAAAAATGTTCTCTAACTTAATTTTTTCGTGATTTATTACTGAAAATTGTGCGAAACATTTCATTCGTAGAATTGATTTCATAAAAAAAAGATCCTTAGCAACATAATGCAATAATGAAAAAAAATTTCTAATTGCACATTTTATTACTGTAAAATAAATGTCCAGGCAGCAACAGAAAAAAAACACGAAGTTTGTTATCATATCTTTTAAACTGACACCGTAACAACAGTAACCTAACGTTCAAAATAACAACAAAAAAATAAAAATGTGAGCCTCTAGTTATCTTATTAGTATAATAAAAGAAAGTCAATTGTGTAGTGCACTTTGACAATTCAGACTAATTCGTCGGATACGATAGGATAGGACAATAAGTCTCCTATAACCTTTGGCCTGTATCCCCAGGTGAAAGATATCCATGATGGATTTTCTCGCATTAAAAAAAAGGATAGAATAGGATTATTTTTTGAAATTGTACGTTCAGAAGTTATTATTGTTATTAATAGTCGTGCTAAATAATTAGCATTGTTAAATAGACACGTACCTGGACATTTTTCACTACTACCCATCGAGTATATAACCAGAAATAGAGACGAAATAAGGGCCATCCACCCCTGGCAACTCATTAGGCAAATGGGCCTTATACCACCTTTAAATATTAACTCTCGTTTGCGCTGAAATCACAAATTAGAAAACTGAAATAGTACAGCGCTAACAACTGGCCTGTGTGAACGTATATTTCAAAAATATCCTGTATTTAGTGTAAAGATAATATCTCTAACAATGGTGGGCTGTTCCATTCGGTATTGTGGGAAAAACAGCGAAACATCTAATTACAAACAAACAAATTGAAATTGCCGATTACACGAGATCATTTGAGACTCGACTGCCATTGCATCTACATTTTATCAGAATAACAAATATTATCATAATTGCAATATATTCTTAGTCTCATCAATGACCAGTGCTTTTAAGAAAATTAAAAGACTTGATGCGCAGTTGGTCGTGATAGGTACCACGGCATATAGGTGTGACACATTTCAGCATAATGGGAAGGTGGTAACAACCGCATTAATATCGCAAATGCACTTGCCATGGAACATAAGATTTTAAGTCTCATGAGCCTATAATTGCGCTGACTATTCCTACCCTTTGATTTGAGGTACAGCAGTAATTCGGTACCGCCGGGTAGAAGCCCAGGGAACACTACCACCAGCATAGCATTAAAACAGCAAAACAACAAAATCTTTAAATTTTTTTTTATATTAAGTCAAGGGACGTACAATTCTTCGGCCTGGCGGTAAGCAACACGCCTACCCATAACAGTTGCAGTGCCACTCAAAGCCTTAAATTGCAAAGATCTGAGGGGTACTGCCACTGCAAGTGGACAAGTCACATGTGCCTGTAGTTTCATCAGCACCATTACCTTTTAAAACCGGAACGCAGTAATGCTTGGCGGCAAAAATGGTGGCAGAACTACCCTGAACTACCATAATATCATTACAATGAATTTGCAATATTGAAGTCGATAGCGATCGCATAATTTTAAGGCACATGGTATAGCACCCATAAGATTCACAAAAAGAACCAAAATTTGTTACAAAAATCAACTCGATGGAAAAGGAAAAAGATTCTGAAAATTTTCTATGTCTGCTCCGTGAGGAATTTAGTCTCTTTTAAAACACGTAAGGTTTTTGAACCTTAAATCCCGAGCCACTAAGGTCATGGTAAGTTAGTTAAAATTGCAAAATATACGTTACAAAATCGACTTATAACAATAATAAAGTAAATATAAAATTAATATCTTCACAGAAGATAAAATTTGACATTAGTCGTTTTATAAAAATTATTCGGTTAGTAAATAGAATCTATTAACATACTATAATAAGACATATATGATATCTCCTTTCATACGCAGCAGTACGGCTTACATGTGTGCACGCCCACCGCGTGCCGTATATGGACGTACATATTGGTATAATAATGAAAGGTGTGTGAGACGACTACATGCACTAAGCAACATGCATCGCAAAATTATGCGAACGTGTGCATCCTTAGACGGCACGCGGTGGGCGTGCACACATACAAACCGCGCTGCTACACTTGTACAGAGTTACCATACCTACTTGTCTTATTATACCATGCTATTAATTACAAAAGAAATTTCAATTCAGTCATTTTCTAGACTAATTTATTATTGTTATTCTAAATCTACGATCAAAAATTTACATCCAAAATATATTATTTCAACGACTAAAAAGGTTTAAAATTAAATTACTCTTATACGGTCTCAAAAGGGCAAAATCACACTTTTGGGCCTCGTTCTACTTACAATATAAACAACGTTGTATATTTTTTCTTGTTAATTCAAGGAAATATAATCTAACTTACGCAGATTGCTTTTAATTATACCTTGTTTACTTGGTTTTGTTTTTGTTTCAGTGTTTATTAAGTCTTTTAAAATATTGTATTATTGTCATATCAGCAACTTTGAGAATTCCGAGAAAGGAACTGCGAATTATAATGGTTAAACTTAAACAAAATCAACTAAAAATTTAACTTTTTTATAGCACTCTACATACAAGATGACACTTAAATCTTCTTTCACAAGCGTAAATATGAAACTGCCCCAATACATAGTTTATAATTTCATATCATTAATTTTTATCATTTTCATAAACATTCAATAATAAATTCTCGGAATCAACTGTCTGAAAGCCCTTATACGCGGGACGATTTGTCTTCACAATCCGTCATGTTCATTTCATTAACGATTAACTTGAACGCCGTCAGGGGCTCTGTGACGGTCCGATACGATTATCGTAACGATCGATCGAAACCAAGAATCGTCTGTATATGGGGGACTTTACGGCAAACGACTTTATTGAACACTGAAGTTACCATTATTAACAAAAAGTGACATGATACCATTATATAGAATCCTATTGTGGACTACATTCGAATAGGTCTTAGTGCACAAACAGTATCCAAAGCGGATCCGAGTTTTCAAGATCTGTAGTCTCGGATTCGGAATGAACACGAATCGAATGCATTGCGTAAACACGTTAAGGCTGAATTTACATTGCCGTGTTTCGCGAAGGTGAGCTAATTTTCGTAACAAAATTGTACACAGCATAATGATCTTTATGTCAATTGTGTAATGCGCAAACTAGACACGGTATTCTCCGGAAAACTTCGTCTGGAGGTTCTCAATTAGTACATTTGAGGTCGGTTTTTTTAGTAGTCTGTACGGAGATTATTTTGTAACGAATATTCCGGCAATGTAAATTGAGTCAAGATAGAAATGAATGAACAAAATTGTTAATCGGTGCTCTAGTCTCACTTTCTTTATTGTAAAAGCGAAAGAGCGTCAAAGCATCATCATCATCAACCCATTAACACGTCTCATTGCTGAGTACATCTCAGCAATGAGGCGAGGGTTAGGCCACACTGGCCCAGTGCGGGTGGGGACTTCACACGTTTTTCGATTGTTGTGAATCTTTGTCGTGTAGGTTTCATCACGATATTTTCATTCACCCAAATGTTCATGGTATATTTCAAACCAAATTTCGCACATACATTCTCGGATTCGAACCCACGGCCTCTACTGTAGGTCAAACCATTTGGCTACCATGCGTCGGCTAAATTCATAAACCTTTTTTTATGATACCAAGTGACCGGATGATCAAGTCGTTGGCCTGGTATTAAGCGACACGCCTGTCCATAGCAGTTGCAGTGCCACTCAGAGCTTTAAATCGTAAAGATCCGAGGGACACTGTCACTGCGCCTGTCACTTTGAGAATAAATAAGTCCCATGTGCCTGTAACCTCACCACCATTGACGTATATTCTTGAGTAGCTACAAAAACTTTATAACTAAAAAAGGGTATACAAATTATATTTTAAGCTTTACTTGCCCGATATTGGGATTGAACAGTAAAAAAGGGATTTTGGTTCAAAACGGAGTTACGATGGTTTTCAAATTTAGCCGACGCGTGGTTTTTTGACATTAGAGTACAACAGTTTACTTCAATCCTGGGACCGTGGACCTTCATGGTATTCATGCAGCCAAAATTGTTGGCATTAGTAGACTAGACGAAGCCCTGAGCGTCCTACGTCTTTACATTCTTTGCCCTTTATTAATTATTCAAAAAAAGTAACAAATTTCTCGTCGAATAGCGTAAAACGCTGCCGTTCGAATTTAAAATTTAGTTTAATATAAACAGAGGGATAACAACAGAACTCACGATACCATAAAAACATCAAGACTAGCTATTAAGAGTGTCCAATTACTTAGTTATTACTAACGGGGCCCCTTTACAGATCATTGGAATATTGGAGACTTATTGATAATGCGAAGTTTTGAATGCGGTTAGGGTCTTGAAAGGTTAAAACTTGAATGAAAGGCAACCAACAAAATTTGTTAAATTAGTTTTCGATATTCGTTACATTGATATTTTTCAGACTATATCATTAAAAGATGTGTATATATATTTATACAGTGTGTAATCGTTAAATGTGGCCAGGCGATTATTCCGAAAATATAAAAAAAAATTAATTTAAAAAATTTAAAATATAGTTTCGAACAACTGCTTTGAATATAAAATTTTATACTTACTTAAAAATAAACATCACTTTGTTTATTCAATTAATAGATAGTTTTATTAATTTATTTATAGCAGTTTCTTTTAATGAGCGTTTAATGTTGAAATTTTGGATATTTCTAGTTTTATTTTTAACAAGGTTTTAATCCTGTTTTACTGATTAGGTAACGTATTTTCGATACCAGTTTTAAGGTTTTTAATAACGTTTATATTGGCGGAATAATTGTGACGTCACACTTAATGATTACACCCTGTATGCTACTATCTGTACTATTACAACTATCTGTATTACACAGAGTCGAATTTTGTTCTCCAAAAATGCTACTAAGAAGTATTAATATTCTGGCCTAAACTTTCATCAGTTTTGTTATATTTACTAAGTCTCCGGACACCCAATATATCCCTTTTATAACTTAGAAGTAGCCGTAAGCATTACGTAAGTGGCTCTAGCATTTTCCTCCTGCTCAGGTTCTTGTCTAAAACACCTATGAGACGTATCAAATTGTGTTGGTTTCTTTAACATCTTCCTTACAAACCATACTAGGCCGATAATAATGACCATTAAGCCTAAAGCTACGCCGATCAAAGCTGTGTTCAATCCTTTAAATCCTCCTTTCATTTCCAATGAACCTACGGAATCTAAAATCTGCGGAACAACACATATAGGGTGCACTTCATTTACTTTATATTTAGATATTGTAGCACAAACTTCATAAGGGCCCCTTATAAAACCTGCCATAGAAATCTCTAGAGATGTCTGACATGGGGTATCTTTTTGGGCAACTAGAGAACCCCTAGAAATAACAGCTACGACAACATAGCAGTTGTAGAACTGTGGATCGGAAAGGCGTTGTGAACGTGGAAGAACGTATGGTCTTGGATGTAGACCCATAAGGTTAATGAGAACAGTGAGGAGACCGTCACTTGTGATGTTGGATCGGACTTCGGAGACTCTGCAACAGAAATAAAAGAGGTTAATGTCGAATTCTTTGGTTCTCGGCGATTGTTACACATTGAAAATGAAAGTATTTTTTGGGATCTAAGTCGACTAAAATTTAAGAAATGTTTGTTTTCCAAAAGCGTCTCAGCGACAACAAAACAACTTCTACTACAGTCAGGTAAGAGGAACATACTTTATTTTGAGTCAAATTTTTTGAGCTCTAGAAAGATACAGATAAGAACAGATAGTCTTATAAAATATTTCAAATACACTAAACTTGCTGTTGTTTATCAGCCTTACGTGTTTTAACAATCATTATTCATTATGGTAAATTCAAGACTTACGATGCATCTGCCGAGAACTTACAAATTATACTGGCGTTTATCTTCCCCCAAAAGATGGGGTAAGAGTATTTACACATGGCGACTTTTGGTAGAATTGGACACTCTTAATAATAGATTACAGTAGCGATGCATTAGCTAATCGTCTACCTTTACACACGCGCGCGCGACTTTAAGCAGCGACTCAAACGCGCGACTGCATCGATACAAACGCGCGATTGCATCGCTACACTTGAGATTTATGAACGATTGCATCGATGCAATCGTTTATTACTTTGATGCAATCGATTATAAATCTCAATACAATCTATGCAATGCAATGAAATGCAAAAAATGCGATGCAATCGCCTATAAATCGTGAGTGTACTAGGGTGTAGAAAAAATAAATATGAGGATTTAGATCCGAAAAAATAGTTTCATTTCCAACGAAAGAGATTAAATTATTAATTTTTCAAAATGTGTTACAATTTTAAACAACTTTTTTTGACAGCTAACGCCACCATTTTGTTACAAGTATTATAATTTATGTGTACTTATATTAGAAATTTTTATGGTAATTAGAAATTTCGAGAATATTACCTTACAAATTTATACGTAAAAAGAATAAATGCTTCTTTATTGCATACAAAAACAGAAACAGACAAAAGTGTTAGCAAACAAGCGGTGATAATGTCTTAAATAGTTATCTCCCAAAATTCAACACCCACAAGATTAAACTAAAGGGATACAAAATAAATAATGAGTACAACACAAATGTGTTGTTTAAATTTAATGGAACCTTTAATTCCGACATTATCGATTTATAAACAGGTGATTCATTATTTATAATCATGTCAACATAGTAACTGTAAGTGAAAACTAAAAAGTGTGACGATATTATTGTGACATATTTATTCAGGTGACTATACAGTGAATAAGGCAAGTTTTTCCTAGAGCTCAAAACATTTGACACAAAATAAAGTATGTTCCTCTTAACCCACCTGACTTTATATTCCAAGAATTTTAAATAATATAAGCCTGGTGGTAAACATTTGAATATTCCAAAACATTCGGGAACATTAACAGACAGTCAAGAACATTTTGGGTTTACCTCAAAGCGTCTCTTTCGGGCGACGATGTAACAGGAATCGGAACAACTGTGCCGAATGTAGCTCGTTGTCGGACGAGCTGCGGCTTTCCACACCCCAACACTAATGCGAGAGGTATGTCGGTGTTGTCCATCTCTTCTAGAGCTATACAGAATCTGTGAAAGTGAGTGCGCTTTGTTTATAGTCCTGTTTCTATTATTACAATAATAATTTAGAACAGCTCTATAGACGACATAGCGTGTGGATAATACGAAAACTTGTAAACGTCCTATGAAAGATAAAGAACGACAAGCGCTTAGTGGGCAGTTTAGTAGCAGTAGAGTTCATTGTGAAAGAGTGCGTCCAATGTAGTACTGCCACCTTACCTATTTCTGCCGCAAAGCCGTAATGTCAGCATTACTGTGTTCCGGTTTTGAAGGGTCAGGGTGCTGGTGAAATTACAGGCACATGGAACTTGTCAACTTATGTTTCAGAGTAACGGGCGCAATGGTAGTGCCCCTCAGATCTTTGCAATTTAAAGCTCTGAGTGGCACTGTAACTGTTATGGCCTGTCCATAACGTATAGCTTACCATCAGGCGCACTACTCGTTCGTCACGTCACTTGATGTTATATAAAGAAAAATCTATGCTAACATCTATTTGGTTTGCTTAGTTATCGCCATTGTTCTGCCATTTCAAAAATACGCTGGCTTTGCTTGACCTTTTAAATATTGTAGACGCAAAACTCATAGGTTTTCACAGTCTAGCGAAACAATCACGTGACGTGTTTTTGTTTCGGCAATATGTATGTCATTACACCTATCATCAATTTGGAGTGCACAAAAGGAGCCTCCCAGCACGACGTGCTATTTCTTTTTCCTGTACATCTGTCGATCGACAAATCCCTTTCACCATGATGGCAAGCATTATAGCGTATGCTATCGATACGATAAAAAGAAAAATAATAATTAGCAGTCATCTCGTTAAGACCCGAAACTATTTGGCGTACCTAGCTCATGTCAGGCTAGAAAGATTAAGTTTGTAATAGCTGGATATACGGTTTGAAATCTTCGCTCTCCACCTGTCCACTCTCCTGCTGCTGATGCCCGGTATCTTTGGGTACGCAGACGACAGCACAGTGGCGGTGAGTTATGTGCCAGACGCCCGAGACAACAGTGAAGAGATCTGGTGTAAGCGAGAGGCGATGGTCACCCGGTTGAACCTGAGTCTGAAAGCTGCTTCCGACTGGGGAGATGCTAACAGGGTCAGGTTTAATGCGGCTAAAACACAGGCGTGTCTTTTCTCATCAAAACGGAGTCCCCTACACCTTACTCCGACTTTCCGAGGTGTATCCGTGCCGATAAGGGACCACCTTGAGCTACTTGGACTGGACTTATCATCCAACCTCAACTTTGGGCGATACATCGAGGGCAAAAACTGCTGCCAGAAAACTAGGGATACTTTTCAAGGTCAGGCGGTACTTCACACCTGAACAGCTTTTAAATCTATATAAAGCACAAGTTCGATCCTGTATGGAGTACTGCTGCCACCTTTGGGACGGCTCTGCCCAATACCAGTTAGCTGCCTTGGACTCGGTGGAGCGTAAAGCAAAGAGACTTATTAACAATAATCCTCTTGTGGAGTCGAAGCTCCAAAATCTCGATCATCGCAGAAAAGTAGCCTGCTTGTCGGTTTTCTATCGGATACATTTCGGGGAGTGTGCGCAGGAACTTTTCAATTTGGTTCCGCCCTCACCGTTCCTCCTTCGGTCGACTAGAAGGTCCAGAGCACTCCATTCTTATGTCGTTGATATTCCACCTATTCGCACTAAGCGCTTTGCTTCCTCCTTTCTGATGCGTACGGCAAAGGAATGGAATGCTCTACCGGCATCTGTATTTCCCGAAAAGTACAATTCGGGGCTATTCAAGGCTAGAGTGAATAGGCATTTTTTAGGCAAACGCGTCCCATCGTCGGTCACATCGTCGCTTAACATCAGGTGAGATTCTGGCCAAGCGTGTGTCTATTATATATATAAAAAAAATAAAAATAAAAATAAAATGTCTATATCCCCATGCTTAGAGACTGTTTTATAAAAATTACTACTTACAAGTTACAGAGTTGCGCCCTTAAAACGCATTTGGAAGAATTATTTTACAGGTTTTATAATATCCAGCGACGGGACGAACAAGTCGTGCGCCTGATTGTAAGCTACACGCCTGTCCATAAGAGTTGCATTGCCACTCAGAGCAATCACAAAGAACCCGTCACCCTGAGACATCAGTTGACATGTCTCATGTGCCTGCAATTACATCAGCACCTTTACCCTTCAAAACCGGAACACAGTAATGCTGACATTACAGTTTGGTGGCAGAAATCGGTAAGGTAGCACTACTACCCTGGACGAACTCTTTCATAAGGAGCTCTGCTGCTACTTAAAACTACTTGGTATATCAATATTTTCATAGGAATCATGTCCCTATACATCTTCAATATCCTTCCAGACAGTTTCCGGCTTGTAAATTTCATTAACAATTGATAGTTTTGCGAATAGATTTCAAAATTTCTGAGTGACAGGTGATCTTCGGAGTCTACTTATTTCGTCAGCGAGCTATGCATTAATGTCATGGTACCTCAGGTGTCTTGTCTTTTCTCCGAAAATTACCTTCTGCTCGACAGATCGGCTAGCGCGGTGGACTGATTTTTTTTGATTAACGAACCGAAGTTAAACAATTGCCTTTAAAATTATTCAACTTAGTATTAAAACTACTCACTAATAACACTTAAATCAAATTTTAGAAAATACAGAAGTTCTATTAATGCAATGTGAACAAACTACGTAATAAAATCCGTCAACAGACTTCTGAAAGAACGTTAAGTCAAAAACCAGTACAATACCAAAAGAAATAAATGCAAATATTAGTTCACAAATGAAAAGGGCTGAAAAGAGGAAATTAAAGAGCAATTCGTATTCATGAAAAAAATATTTTTTAAGCCACGCCACATCTTTTCCTAATAACAGCCTCTATAATTTCCCAAATGTTCCCGCTGTATTGTTTTAAGTGACCCCATTTTCATAAATAAGGCTCATCACTCATCAGACACTTCGCTAAAGCATCAGCGATTTACTCAACGTCCAGAAGTTAAATGTATCCGAAAAAGCTTTCAACAATACGTTTTATATCTGTTATTAGAGTCACAAGCATTCTAGTATTAATCATGTTTCAGTGCAGTGATAATTGACAAAAAGTCGCATGCAGGTAACGAGTATTTGTACTTGTAAAATACACTATCAGTACTGACGAACATTATGATTGCTGCCACCATAATGTTAATATTCACAAATATAAAGAACACAACTTCAACTGATTTCACGATGCCTGACCACGTTTACAACGTGGAGAATAAATTTTCTCTATACGAACATTGCGGCAACAATCAATACTTGTGCTTCTATTTATGAATCTTCTTCATCGTTACACCAAATTACCGATTGCTGGTGCTACGTATCATGGTGTGTGGTGGGTTTAACAATTTATTATTCTAATGTCAACCTAATTTACGAAGGATCATATTTACTTTAACTTTTTAATCAAATTTTGAAAGGAAGTATTTATACTTCAACTCGGTATTTTAGCTACCATTGTTCATAATTCAGAAGTAAATATTTGTTCAATTATTTTGGATTTTAATGTGAGGAGTGGATAGAAAACTCATTAATCTTCAATAAGTCATTAGCCAATATAGATACAATACAACAACAATCTCACATACGCACGCACTCGCATTATTGCATTATTATTGTTATTTTTTATTCCATACACCCACGCAGTTTCACCCACGCACACATCTCATGCACTTACAGATTCATACAGATATCGGTATCGGTAGATTCATACGGATATCAACACGCACAAAAACACCCACACCCACTAACACACACACACACACACACACACACACACACACACACACACACACACGCGCGCGCAAACATACACCCTTTTTCTGCCTTTTTTAATTTTTAATTATATAGTTTCTTTTTTAAATCAGTTTTCAACAAATTTTAACCTGGATAATATTTTATAAGGCGCAAACCATTTACGATACATCTAACTCAACCTGACTCCTAAGACACAGACTCTAGTCTAGTTTAGGAGCCAGTGTATTCTCAAACCTTAGCGTATGCCTTTTTCATTGTATATTTAGTAACAACTTTTTATGTATATTAGTGATAAGGCTAAAAAGTTAATAAAGATATTATTTGGGAATTAGTAAATGTCTATTTAAAACTGAGAATTCTATCTAAGTGAATAAGTAGGTGAACGAGCGTTTCACGTTACGTGAAATACATCATCAAAAGTGCCTGTATCATACACCAGAACTAATTTAAATAAATAAAATAATAAATAATAAATGACGCACACACTCACAACCCCGCACTAAGGCGACTTTATACCGAAGGTGCCTTGGACACACACACAGACAACCACAAACGAAACCCAAACACACGGACCTCTGCGTGGCAGACAGGGTTTCCCTGTGAGTGTGAAAAACAAAATGCTCTGAAATGCTAAAGTAAAAAATATATTACTGTCTTGTCATAAGGATACTTACGTATACTGCTCTAGAGGATCAATCTTCAGTCCTCTCAATACAATATTGGCAGGAGCAGATCTATGACAAGCCACGTGTTTAGGCAGACCTCCAGCTCTTGATGCTGTCACGCCTGTACACCTGTACCGACGAGTCGATGGGGGATCTAATGTCCAGGATAGATGGACCTCTTCATCGTCGTACCACGCGTCTATGAGACGTACCTGGGTATTAAGTTGGAAAGACTTGTTTAGTCTTGGAAGTTGCTGATTAAAAGTAAATCATCAAGTATTATTAGCCTTAATATTCCATCTCAAATAATCTTGATTTCAAGAGTAAGCAAATCACACTTGAAATGATTGATTAAAGCCTACTACTCGTTCGTAAGGTAGATTCCCCTGAAACTCTAAGGGTTGCTCTTTGTATATAAAGATTTATAGACATTGAACATTTACAATATTTATTTCAAACATCTTACAGTGGTTACACCCGGCGACTTTTAGCAGACTATTAGCAACATCGATGCAAACACGCGACTGCATCGATAGAAACGCGCGATTGCATCGATACAAAACCCGCGATTGCATCGATGCAATCGCCTATAAATCCCAAGTGTAGCGATGCAATAACGCATTTGTAGACGATTAGCGACTGCATCGCTACTGTAGCGACTGCATCGCCGTGTAATCGCCGTATGCAACCGCTCATCGATCGAAATAACCTGCTAGTGCCAAACGGATCACTACCATAATTTTTTGTCGTCTAAGTTTAGGAAATGAAACTATTTTTCCGGATTTACATCGCGTATATTTGTTTTTTCAAACAATCCGTTTTAGTTTATTCTAATTTCTATTAAAATTAATAATAAATAAAAAATTCATTCAATAAAATAATTTGTAAAACTTAATGTAGCGTAAATTGGAATGTTTTCTTTGTAAAATTAAAAATAAGGTATTTAATTAATAACTATTGTAACTATAGTGAAAAAATAGGGTGGTTTGCATCAATATTAGACATAACTGGTTGAAGACTGTACCACCTCAGTCAACCGTGACCATGGGATCTGTAAAGGGCCCGGAACGTCGGTTTGTTTGAAAAAACACATATACGCGATGTAAATCCGGAAAAATAGTTTCATTTCCATTGTGTAACAATCGCGAAAACCTAAGAACTCGATATCTAAGTTTAGTATCAAGGTTTTGTTTCACAATAGTTTCAAAACTCGTAAATGGCAGATTTTGAATATCTACCGGAACCTTACTATAGAATCGTACATTATACATTGTCATCGCCATTATCGGGTTGTTGGTTTATCTAATAGAAAGCCGTCTAACTCTGCATCTTTCATATCGTTCTTATATGTTATTGCGGTGGTGGAAAGGAGCCTCCCCGTACGACAAGCCATTACTTTCCAGTACGTCAGGTGCAACTTGGCACACGATAAAAAGAAGATTATATTCTTAATTACCAAAATCATTACAAATTATTACCTTAGATTTAGAAATAGGCAAGTCCTCTTCACTTGGCACTTCTAATTCTTCCTCGTACACATCATCATCTAGCCCGTCTTGTTTATCATCATAAATATCAACAAATTTTTCATCAACGTCAATAGTATTCATGATTACTTTATCGCCTTTCTCTTTCACATCTGCTGTGTTATGTTCGAAATCATCACAAAGTTTGTTCTTGGATAATCTTGAAAGTAACGCGCCTTCCAAATGTGGCGGCGTAGCACAAACTGCTGCAGATTTGTCAACTTGGGACAAATTTTCAGCATCGCGAAGCCACCTTGCGAAACCAGCCATTAGGCAATCGCAGTTGAGTGGATTATCTGTAACATAAATTGTAATGTTATTTTTACTGATATTATTGCTTTGTAATTTAATCGCAAGGGCTAATTTAACGGAGATGATTCTTAACATTTTCATGAATATCTCTATTTAGCTGTTTAAAGATCGTCAAGGCTCCAGTCCTTGTAGGAAGCTCAGTCATAAAATGTATATTTATTTTGCTTCTACTTTTACCGTTTGATTTGAAAAGTAATATATTATAAATAAAATTAATTTGAATAAAATTAAATATTGTTTTATTTTTCCCATCACAAATAGGCTTAAGATTAGAAAGACTAATAGAAGATAACAAAATCGAGGACGCTGGTTTGTGAGAAACCGGTGCCTGAGATAGGTTAAGAATAACCTGTAGTACAGATCACTAGGCACTAGAGGAACCCTGAGTCGTGGCTACCATGGACATACACATAGACAACCACAAATTACTCCCAAACTCACGAGAGAAACAAATATAGGCCATACAAATATTTCTCCTGACACGAACCCGGGGCCTCTGCGTGGCAGACCAGCGCAGGCAACCGTTCGGCTACGGAGGCAGTTCACTATGAAAGTCCGATGACATTACAATAATAAGTTTGATCTGATGCTGCAAGCAGAACAGTCTGCAGTCATCCCACTCCTCAACTACTCACAACTGAACAATGGCGACTGAGCTCATTAAATTGGTCTCGACGAGTAGTTGTCTTTTCTAATGATACCAAACGGCGCGACGAACCAGTCGTGCGCCTGTGTGCGCGGCCATTGTGTCCGTCACCCTCAGATATGATATTTCCTTGTGTCTGTAATTTCCCCTGCAACCTTACTCTTCATAACCGAAACGCAGTAATCTTCACGTTACTGCTTGACGGCAGAAACAGGTAAAAATAAAAACTTAAAAGTTTATTTTTGGTAAATTTATTATGTTTAGTCTTGGAACAAAAGTTGTAGTATTTTACAAGCAAGGGGGCGTTGCCATTATGTCGTAACGTTTTATGTATCGTTGGACGACTGCCGCGTCTACCCAATTCCCGTATCACGACTACCCATCGTGACTGTCGTGGACGTTTATTTTATCGTTGAACGACTGTCGTGTCTAACTGTTCCCACTAGATCGTGACGACAATTCATCAGTTTACGGCAGCCGCCTTGTCGTTTGCGCGGTAGAATCGTTTGAAACTGCGATTATCTGTCAACACATTTTTATCGTGACGTGTTATTTATCGTCAGACGACTGTCGTTCTAGCTGCTCCCATCGTCATGACAGTCTGTCGTTGTAAAGTTAAAAAACCATGAACGACAGTTAATCGTGTTGTACTATATCTGAACAACTTCATTTAAATATATATAAGTCACGACACTTTAAACTGCACGACTATCTGTCGTCACGATACAATGACAACACGTCCTAATCCTGTATAGGGTAATATTCAGGTTAGTTAGAAATATTATTTAATATTTCACTATAGTACATTCAAACATTAAAATAATAATAATCTCAGTACAGAGTACTAAAAAAACCGACCTCAGAAGTACGTGGAATTAATCTATTTGCTAAGTTTCATTGAAATATACCCTAGTTCGCCACTATACAGGACTTGATACTGGAGATAATAAAAATAGGTTCTCACTACGACACTACTCAAAGTATATCGAGAGAAAAACGCCTTGAATTGGAGAAATAGCAAATCAAGTAAATAATTGCTAAAAGTAATTGCTCCTAAATTAAAGTCAGGCGCTATTTATAAAAATGAATCTTCATGCGTGTACAGCCACCCTTGGAGGTGGTTGATTTTCTTCAAAATAAAATGGGACCACCATGGAATTGCCCCCTTTCCAACAAAAAAAGAATCATGAAAATCGGTTCGCAAATACCGGAGTTATCGCGTAACATACATACAAAAAAAAAGAACATACAGTCGAATTGAGAACCTCCTCCTTTTTTGAAGTCGGTTAAAAATTACCACCAAAATTAGGTAACGAAAACGAACCTGAAAATTACACCATAGTGCTTTTTTAAAACAATGCGAGGACATAATATAAGACCAAAGAAGGAGAATGTATAATAGGAAAAGTAAACAAGCTTTCCATGACAAAATTTTGCTTCTTGTTTTAAATTAAGCGGAGTACAGTCCGTTATTGTATTTTTGCTCTTCTCACTAGTAATCATTTTCGCGAAAAAATACAAGAAAATAGAAATAACAAAAGAAAACTTCAAAGCACTCTCATTTATTTTACCGCCTTTTTAAAAGTATGTGGTGGCAAATTCATGCACCTTAATTAAAAACAAAATAAGTAATACCATAGACAATATTTTTTTTTAATTTTAGCAATTGCGGACACTGATGCTTAACAATAAAATTGTTCTAATAATGTTATATTGATAACTCGGAATTTCATTTTCGAAATGAATATTTTAATCTACAAATCTATTTAATTGAAATGATTTTAAGTTATTTTTATGTAACAGATCTCGTTTTAGTACAAAATCTCGGATTCTCGCGGGTATAACTTTAAACCTTTTTTTCTCTTTATTTTAAATATTAAAGGTTTTTTTTCTCAGTGAATAGGCAATACCACTAACGTTCTGCGTTACATTGTTATAATATATTTAGCAATTAATTTATATAACGCCTAAAGTCCGATTCAAGTTACACCGTTTTGAAGAGCGTGGCAAATTCTTCTTCGGATTCTCGTTTTCTCCAGGTAGGATGTACACATCATCTTCTTTTTCTAGTTCCAATATGTTTCCAATACTCCGTCATCAAGAGCTATTGCAATAGATGCCAACTCAAATTGTGAAAATTGCAATTAATAGCACAGCCTTATCACTCAATAGAAAAATGCAAAATAACAAAAAAAACCGGCCGACGCACGGTAGAACGACACGGCACTGACAAGACACCGACACTTTCTCGTTGAAGAGTCAGGAACTGCATAAAGAACTGGCTATTTTCATCTTCTAGCCGTGCACATTCCGCCATCACATAGCGTACGTCCTCTATGCGGTAACACGTTCCGCACTTCAAGGAAATAGCTTTCTTCATTAAGTAACTAAAACTATTTAGTGGAATATGTTCAGGTCGAATCCTTAGAGCCATGACAATGGACACTTACACCAGCACCCGCAAACCAGGGACACCGCACACTTTGAAACTAACAATTCAATTGGTAATTGACTAAACACGGCCTTAGATATTAGTATCCACACCGTTTCTACCACGTATCTGTTAAAGTGTCGTATCACATAATCGTAGTGGCTATGTCAAAAAAAAAGTTAAAATATAGGAAATAAAATTATCGAGTTCTTAGGTTTTCGCGATTGTTACACATAGGAAATGAAACTGTTTTTCCGGATTTAACTGTGACCATTCAACCTTGACTATGGGACTTGTAAAGGTCCCGAAACGTTGATTTGTTTGAAAAAACGAATATACGCGATTTAAATCCGGAAAAATAGTACCATTTCCTAAAAAAAACTATTTTTTCGGATCGAAATCGTATATTTGTTTTATAAACAAACCAACATTTCAGGCCCTTTACAGGTCCCATGGTGAGGGGTCCCATAGTCACCCGTGACGTTTTGATTGTATATGTCGTTCGATGTGCTGCCATCTAGCGGCAGTAGCAGAAAGACGAACGATTAATGTTTTCCAAAAAAAGTCAACCATATTGCAACGTTTCAAGGTTTACATTCGTTTCTTATAACAAAAAAGTCTATTACGCTAAACAGAAAATGGAAAATTTAGTGAAGTAAAACAAGACTAACGATTATATAAAACGGCACCGTGGATAATATTACAGGTGTGACTTTCATTTTTTCACTCCAGAATAGCGAAATTATGGCATTTTTCCACGGTTTTCGAGATTTTGCGCGGAATAGTTGACATGATCATAACGTACAGTCAAGTGCACTTCAAGCTTTACACTTTGTACATACTTTGGACCGTTCTGTCGTAAGCGACATAGAGTTGGATTTAAGTCTTAAGTGCCAAGCTTGACGTGCTTTTGTATAAGTTATCGATTTTATAACCTATTTTTATCAGTCCATGAATCACATATTTGCTAAAATACAATAGTTCTACGATTTTCTTATCGCCAACTGATGATAATGAAGTTAAAAAGACGATCAAATTGCTTAATAATGCACACTCAACAGGTTATGATGAAATACCTAATAACATCATTAAAGCCTGCTCTGACGAATTAGCTCCCACCTTAGCACAACTCATTAATTTGTCTTTTGAACATGCAATATTCCCACCAACTTTAAAAAATCAATAGTGAAACCACTTTTCAAAAAAGATGATAAACAAAATTTGCAAAATTATCTACCTATAACTTTGATACCTGTTTTGTCTGAGGTTTGGGAAAACATCTTACACGCGAGGTTGATGTTATTTATTATCAGGTTTCAAGTGATAAGACCTGACAAGACAAGACAAGTCCACTACTTTAGCTTGTTATTCGTCTATTAGAGAGATTTTAACTTGTATGGATAAAAGGATACCTGTCACTTCCATTCTATTTGACATGAGTAGAGCATTTGATTTTGTATGTCACAAAACATTGCTATCCAAACTGGAACTGTACGGAATGCGTTGTAGGGCAAATGATTTAATAGCTGATTACCTTCATGGGAGAACTCAATACGTGGAAGTAAACAGTGTCAATAAACATTTGGAGTACGTTGCTTGCAGATCTAACTTTAAAATTAATAGTGTTGGGTTGTCTCAAGGATCAGTCCTGGGTCCTTTCTTATTTATTATGTATGTTAACGATTTGCCCATGGTCACATAATATCCATGTACCATGCGGACGACCTATCCATTGTAGTTTACAAAAGACCGAGACTTGATTTAGAATTCGAAATTAACGAAACTATGAAACGAGTAGTAAATTGGTTGGAATGCAACAACCTTCTAGTCAACAACCTTAAACTTGTCAAAAACTACGTTTCTACAATACCTAAATCACAATAAAAATCCTGCTAAACTCTCCATAG